TAAATGTTGATGTGATAGATAAAGGTCATAATTTTCATTTTAATGAGATAAAAATGTGGCCCAAACGGGGGCTAAGACAAGAAAATGGGCCCATTATGTGGAAGATTATTCAACTGATTTTTTTTCAAACCGAACAGATTGATAATAGAGTGTAGGGACTTTGGGTGCGCGGGTAGGTTCAACACCTGTGCAATGGCAACGGGAGGCAGGACAATTATTTTGAGTTAGGGGGACAATCAGGGGTGGAGTCAGGGATTTTGTCCAACGTGGACACAATTTTAGGTATTAGCTACATTATTATTTTTTGCCTAAATTTAATCTAAGAACCAAAAAAAAGCTTCATGTGAACTTGAGAAATCCTGGTGCATAAGGAAACATGAGATTTTGAACAGCTAAAGTGAAATTTTTTAAATCACGAAACTACTGTAACTTTGATTCAATATTCATATAAAGATAGAGATAAATTCTTCAAAAAGTTTGAAGGTTTGAGATTGGAATAAAATGGAAAGATAATTTGTGATTAATTCAGATATGAGCTTTGATCGTGGAGATGCAATGATTTAAATGGAGTAGACTCCCACTATATCATTTAAAATTAAATAGGGCATTTTGATCCAACCAGTATATTGTTTTCTTAATAATACAGTTATATACACATACATATATGTTGAATTTAAACCCCAAACAAAATAGAACTTTGTTTAAGAAATAAACTTACACAATTTTTTATCTCAATTGTGTAAATAACTCCACGCATACACATCACTCAATTATCAATTATCTCCACTCAATATCTTTCACACACTTGTGCACTCTTTCTCTCTTACTTTTACACACATATGTGTGCACTCTATCTCTCTGTCTGTGCTCACACTCATTCACTTACATACGCAGCCAACACGTGTGTGTATATAAATATATAAGTTGAGAGCATATCAAATAGACTCTCTATTTTTAAATAGCATATTCTCTCATTTGGAGAGCATTTATAAATTACAAAGTTAAAATTTTGAATTACTCCAACAAACTCTTTATATTTAACACTTAATTTTACTACTCCCAAAAAATATTTATTATTTTTTTTTATCTTTTCTTTAGATTA